AGTGGTAAATAGCATAAAAAACAAAAATCAAGTGAACAAAAAATGTGCTTGCGTAAATAAGTGCAGCAGCAACAACAACAGCGCAAGTGGTCTGAAAACAATACGTAGCGCAATTAATAGACTCAACTAGCTGGATGTACACACACAAGAAAAACAAAAAAACAGAGAATAATAATGAAAGCAGTACAAAAGAACGAATAAGGGGTGATTGGAAGAGACGGCGCAGAGCAAAGTGCGGTGAAAATTTTTGCAGCAAAATGCAAAAGTGCAAGCAAGAACAGGGACGAAGCTGCGCAGCTTGGTGATAAGTGTGACGAAACTTTTAAGTGTCATTCAAATATGAAAATTCCTAAAATTGTAATTTGCATTATATGTGAATGTGTTTATCACGAAGGTGACTTCAACAGATTTAAAAAAGGTTTTTACGTGGGTAAGCGATTGATTGTGTGTCCGGATCATGGTGATGTAAACATAACCTCATCCGACCACGCCACGCTTGATGAAAACTCAAGAAAAATAATAGCATATATAAAACAGCACGAAAAAGAAGATCTTAAGTTATGTTTGAGCAGCAGTGTAATGTTAGATACATCAAGCTCACAAGATCTTCTCAATAAAACAGTGAGAAACAATGAGAATGAACAGCTCCTGAATGTCAAGGTTGAAATAGAACTGCTACGTGATTTAAATCAAGAATTGAAATCTAAAAACAAATTATTAACTGAATTACTGGAAATAAATAAAGCAGAAGTAAACAAATGTAAGTCGTACGCGGAAATATTAAAAGAGAATAAGAAAAAAAGAGTGTTTGAAAAAGTTCCAGCGATTGTAGTTAAGACCAAGAATAAAGAAACGGATAAAAACTATGCTCAACTAGTTAAAAAAAATATTTCTACTAATACAAGTGCTCAAATAAAAAATATGTGATAGTTAAGTGTAAAAGCAAGCAAGATGTCTCAAGAACCAAAGACCTACTGACTGAAAAACTAGGTGAAAATTTGAAGTGGTACTGGAGAAAATGAATGCTCCCAAAATCAAAATTTTTGATATAGAAAGTGACATGAGCAAGGAAGAACTAATTGATGATATTTGTAACAGAAACAGCGCCTATTTCGATGGTGACTTTAAAATTATAGCTGACTTTACTAATGGTAAGACAAACGTAGCTATGTTGGCCATAAGTGCTGTCGTGTGTTTAATGTTTTTGACTTGAGTATGTGCTTTCGATGTGGCCGGACCAATCATAGCCGCAAAAAATGTAACAATGAATTAGCTTGTCTAATTTGTGCTGGAAAGCATGATACTAGAGAATGCACCAGCACCATAAAATCATGTATAAACTATGTTTATTACAATAAACATTTTAATAAAAACAACCCCACTGATCATGCGGCAACGGATATCAGCACATGCGCATACCTCAAATTCAAATACAACAACATTGTGAAATCAACAGACTATCCTACAATGCCTCAGATTCCGACTCACTTTGGTAAAGTCCTTGAACCAAAGAGGGCATCAACTTAGAACATATAACACAATTTTCTCACCAAAAATGAATAATAATAGTAATCAAGATTTGAATTGTATTATTAGGATTCTGTAGATAATCTAGAAGATTTAAACAAGAAGTTCGCTGTCAGTGACATTCTCATACTTCATATCAAAATCAGAAGTCTCGATGCGAATTTTATAAAACTTGAACTTTTGCTAAAAAGTCTAATATGTAAACCACATGTTATAGTTTAAAGTGAAACGTGGAATTTAATTGAACATAAATTATATTCATTAAATGGTTATAGCATACATTATAATCAAAGCAGTATAAATAAGGCAGATGGAATAATAATGTATGTCTCAAATGCTCTAAAAGACTCCACATCCGTAGATACTATCAGGCGTTGCAATTTTTTCTCTACATGTATAAGTATTAACAATAATTTAAATTTAAAGGTAACTGGAATGTACAGATGTCATGACATCCCTAAGGAGGAATTTATTAACAATTTAAAAATATACATGGATACTAATTCTAAGATTAAAAATCATATATTAGTTAGAGACTTCAATATAAATTTAAATGATGTAGACTATCACTCAGATCTACTACTATCAAGTGTTTTGGATATGAATTATGTACCGTTTTTTAATAATACTACCAGGCCTTATAGTGAGGATGAATCATGTATAGATAATTGATAATTTGTTAAAACAAATATTCCCAACGTAAAATCAATAAAAACACATTATCACTGATCATTATATTTTGTTTTTGTCATTACATACGAATAGCTAAATCATAAAGAACCGAAGAATTATCTCATAATCAATATACTGGAGAAAAATAGTAAAAATGTGGGAAGACATATTAAATATACAGAATCCAAATATTGCTACTAATAGTCTCATAGCTAAAATACAAAATTTGATAAAAAATGCTAATGTAAAACCAAAACACAACAAGCGTAAATTTAAACAGCGTAAAAATTGGATTCCGATTGGCATTATGAAGTCATGTCGTACTAAGTTATTTAATAAAAGGAAAAAAAAAAGATAATATAGAACTAAAGACTAAAAATACTTACTGTAAAAAACTGGACAAAGTTATAAAAATTACTAAGTGTAATTATGAGAGTAATTCGATAAATAGTAAATCTAATTGTAGTAAAGACTTATGGAATTATGTAAATCGTAAATTAGGTAAAAATGTAACGGCATCTAAGATATAGACTACTTAATGGAACATGATGTGAAGATCACTAACCCTTCGGAAATTGCTGATACTTTTGTAAATTTTTTTAGTAATGTGGGTATAGATTTAGCTGCTAAAATGAAAAAAAAGATAACAACACGGTTTATAATATAGAAAATAATGCTTAGTCAATTTAAGCCAACTGATGAACAGTAATTTGAAAAAGTAATCAGAAACCTAAAAGGCAAAGCTGGGGGAGTTGATGAAATTAACACTAAAGTTTTAAAAATAATAAGTAAATTTATTAGTAAACCATTGGAATTTATCTTTAATAACTGTATGACTATAGCAATATGGCCAAATGGAATAAAATGTGCAGAAATCCTACCAATCCATAAATCAGGAAACAAATATAAAACGAATAACTATCGTCCAATATCCTTAATTTCTAATATAGCAAAAGTTTTTGAAAAAGTTATTCAAAAACGAATTTATAACTTCATAACAGACTCAAAAATTATTACGAAAAACCAATAATATTGATAAAAATAATTCAACAGTGATAGCTTTCTTGGATTTAGCAAAAGCTTTTGATACAGTAGATCATGCTTTATTGCTGGATAAATTATATAGATATGGAATCAGAGGAATCGCTGTTGATTTAATTCGTGACTACCTTAAAAACAGATATCAAGTAGTTAAAGTTAACGGGGTAAAAAGCAAATCATATAAAGTTCAAAAAGGGGTGCCGCAAGTTACAATCTTGGGACCACTCCTTTTTATTCTATATGTAAATGATATCTTTAAGGAACTACCTGAAAACTGTTTGGCAGCTTATGCAGATGATACAATAGTTAAATGTAAATCTTGGGCGGAAGCTGAATCACAAATAAATGTGCAGTTAAGTTTAATAGGGAATTGGATGTGTAATAATTACTTAACTCTAAATGTTGGAAAAACTAACTATATAACTTTCGGTTCATATAAAGATGGTATTCCAGAAAGTTTTGAGTTAAAAATTTATAATAAGACCATTAAAAGAACTGAAATACTTTATATTCTCAAAGTTTAAAAATATAATGAACAAGAAAGCACTAAAAACAATTTACTACGCATTATTCGATAGTATAGTCAACTATGGAATTATTGCCTGGGGAGGTAGTTATAAGAATGTTACAAAAATTTTTAATAAAAATACAAGAAAAATTAGTTAATCATTAATGTGATAAAAACGAGAGAACACCCGTACTGGGTATTAAAAAGAAATTTATTTCTGAGTCACTATGTTATCATTATTCCGATTGTAGAGAGGTATTTAATGAATATAAAGGTAAGGCTAGAGCTAAACCGTTACAGTTACCAAAGATTAATAAAAATATATCTTACAAAGACTCGAAATATATAGCAATTAAATACTACAATATGTTACCGCTGAGTATAAAGTTGTTAAATATTAAAAATAAAGCAAGCAAAAAGAAAATAACTGAGTGGATTGTAGACACTGATATTTAAAAATTCTATGTTTTCTTTTGTCTTTCAATTATAAATGACATTTGTTATTAATAGATTAGTACTTAATTATAATAAACTAATATTACCATTATTACTATGTTTTGTAACACCTCTATAGGTTCATACTTTGAATGTAATATGTGCTTTGTATGTAATAGAAGTAAATGAACAACTCGCATGAGACAACCTTTTGATGGTTTTACGACCATTACTGGATGTTTTGTTCATATTCAAAGTCGCCAGACAAACTTTCGCGTCGTAAACAAACAGCTCTCAAACATACACTAATTTATATTTGGAAATCAAACTTCACATGAACATAAAAAAGGTTATTCCAATCTTTGGAAAAAAATTATTATGCGCAGGCAGTTTATATGAACCGGGTCAAATTTAATCAGATAATATAAGCGCATATGTGAAGTATATTAAACTTCTTCGCCAGGCATTAAATATTTTCACCTATAAAGTATTTTCTTTGCATCTTGCTGATTTCATTATAAATAATTTAGCAAATAAATATAGTACATATGATGTAACGAACAACGTGTCCTACAACTGTCGTGAAATATCGCTTTGTTATATGATATTTAGGTTGTTTAGTTAGGATATTTAGAATAATTTTAGCGTTATAGATTTTTGCACTTATAAATTAAATTAAAACGAAATTGATGTTTTTTATATTATAAACAACATTTTAGTTTCATATGATCACAAGTACTTTAATATAAAAGTAAATGTTTCAGCATTGTTGTAATTATTAAGATAATTGAAATAGTTATCCTCTTTATTTTTGTACCTGCATTTATAGATGCTAATAAAATATTTATTTATTTAAAACACACTCCATAAAACGATTTCACAAGCAAAAATATTCTACGGAAAGATTTTTACACGAACTATTTGACATAAAAACCAATCCACGACTGAGCGCACATGAATATGATCTTGAGAGAACTGTAACCATATTGATGCTTGAATGTTTATAAAAGGAAAAGAGATAAGTATGAAAGTAAACCCATCTCATAACAGTCATAAAAATAAAGCTCTCACATGAAATGAGAGTTCACTAACTTTTAAATATAAGTCAAAACGAATGGTATACTATTGTAGATTAAAAACATTTGAATGGTGAAAGCCTAAATACTACATAAGTCAATGTCAAACGTCACAAACGTTGGTCTATACTATGAATATACTCAACTCCACTTTTTATGTTTTAAATATGTTTAAAATGTTTCATAATCAGTTTAAGTTTTATTCTATAATTTATTGTCATCTTATATAAAACACAATTTGTACAACTCATCCCGCTATTGATGTTTGACATATCACACAGTGGTTCATTTCATAAACCAAAAAAAAAATCAGAAATTTGCTACTCTAAGTATGAAAACTATGTCTTTTTTATAACTCATCTCGCTATTAATGTTTGACACAAACACAATGGTTGATTTCATAGTCCAAAATAAATAAATAAAATATTAGAAATTTGCTACTCTAAGTATGAAAACTATTTCTTAATACTTTTAAGCAAGTACGACAGTAAGTAAAACCTTCCAGTACAGTTTCATCCGGCTGTATGATTTCCATACGAAGCTTCGCCTGCCAGACAATGTGTAGTTACCATTGGCAATGTTCTCACAAACAAAATCTTCTTTTGTTGTCAATCTAAAACAAGTAAAGAAGTTCTCAGTTCAGGTGTAACCGAACATTTTATCCTCTTGCAACGTGCAAGGATACCTTAAAGGCACTATTTGTGCATAGTTTTATCCGAATATTTTCATTGGTGCTTTAGGTACTTTAAAGTGAAAGAATCATACAGTATCAAATTGTGATTTCCCCTAAATGTGGGCGGTGCCACGCCCATCGTCCAATTTTGAGCGCGGATAATATAAAGTCTTCTCCTACAATTTCGAAGATAAAATTTTATTTCTCTGGAGTATTACATTTTCTCCATTTTTACAGTGTCGGTGGTGCTTAAGGAATTTGTTGTGAGCGAATTTTGTTATTTGGCTTAAATTGTTTAGAAGATATGCACAGTAAACCTTTTAGAAGGCGGAGCCTATCCCATATTTTCAAAATTTTTTGCCCACAGGTGCTTTTTGCCACTGCGTTCACACGTGCCAAATTACAGTTGGTATCCTTATTTAGCGCTTTATAATGGCATTTTATAGGTTTTCGTGTAAGGGTGTTTTGTGGGCGTGGCAGTGATCAGATTAGGCATATCTATGAACTCGCCCTTACTTGTTTTGCCAAGGAACGCGTGTTCCAAGTTTCATTACGATATCTATATTTTTAGTCAAGGTACAGCTTACACAGACAGATGGACGGACAGATCCGGATTTCAACTCGTCTCTTCATCCTGATCATTTATATAAACATATGTATGTATGTATATAACCTTATATCTAACTCAATTAGTTTTGGGTGATTGAAACAACCGTTAGGTGAACAAAACTATTATACTCTGCAGCATATTGTCTAATAGCTCAAACAGTCACCGACATTCCTCCCTTCCGTACTTACCGCCCGTATCAAAGCAAATTTGTCAAAAGTTATGCCCGTAGTTGCAACACAGAAATCAGTTGTTCTCTTTTTTTTCATTTCACCAATGTTGCCATTGTGCTATTTGTATACACGATTTTTCAAACATTTAATTACTACAAAATATCGAGATTGACAACCCTGCGTTGCCAGAGATTGTTCTCTCACTCTCAGCTCACTCATTTCTACGGGAAAAATCCAATTTTCGCGGATACCCTGCCATACGGTCCGTTGAAGAGGACGGTAATAGCGTGGTGAGTGTTCATTTTCATTGCGCTTTCATATAAGTTATACTTTTATACTCTTGCAACCTGTTGCTACAGAGTATACAATGGGCGTGGCACCGCCCACTTTTAGGTGAAAACCCATATCTTAGGATCTGCTTAACCGATTCCAATTTGGTGCATAACGTTATTTTCATATTTCTATGTCATAGTGCGAAAATGGGCGAAATCGGACTACAACCACGCCTATTTTCCATATAACTCCATTTTAAATTTCATCTGATTTTTTCACTTTCCAGTATGCAAATCAAGCAAAATGATTGTATCGGCGTAAAACTTTGCGTGAATAATACGTTTAAAGTATGCCACCTTATGACCAAAAATTGTCTAAATCGAACCAAAACTGTTCAAGCTCCTAAGTACTCAATATGTGGACCCCAGTGCCTATAGTTGACCTTCTACCGAAAATTTGACTGATACACACACAAAAAAATCTCAAACGAGTATACCATTTGACTTTGCGAGAGTATAAAATATTCGGTTACATCCGAACTTAGCCCTTCCTTACTTGTTTATATTTAATTTACATAAAAAATTTTTTTTTTACGTGCGCGGAGATGCGAGTATATTGAGTCACAACTTTAGACTGATTACAATAATTTCTTAAACTTAAAATTAAACCTAAGTCACATTGCCGCTGTCCTCAAAGGTTTTGTTGATTCAGCATTTGCACAGATGCACGTGTGGTGTCATTTGTCAGTTACCCGTGGGATACTGCTTACTGTGCGAGTCTCACCTGAAGCTTTAGTTTTTGGCAATAAAGCTTTGTAAGTCAATTCCAGCGTATGTGGCGTTAACTCCTCCCCTTTTAAAACATGCAGCGTCCTTGTTGGTAGGGAGTGATATGTGAGCTGTTGAAATACTGGACCTTTCTACAGGTGTAGGTGGATCTTCTGGACAGTTCGCATTGACTTCAATATGAATTTTAGTTTTTCTATTTAAAATTGTATTTTTTATTAGGATTATTGTTACGATCATAAGTGATATTAATATTATCGCTGATCCTGTAAATAGGCTGACCTTGTATCTTGTCTTAATTTCTTTGATCTGTTGAATATTTGTTACATTGAGCTTTCAGATATTGTAATGAAAGTACTTCTTCAATGCTTCCTGTGGCATCTCTTGATTTGATTATTGCTGGTAATGGGTTTACGAATATTTGATTTGTTTGTAAAATTTTTGTTTTCCACTGTTACGCTTGAATTGTCATATTTAATTAAAAATGTTCCGTTTAATTTGACGATTTGGTATGCAATTACTTTCTGTGACTTCCTCTAAATTACTTTGTTTACATAATATTAAATAATTTATGTTCTTACAATATGATTTCATACCATATATTTTCTTATTACAAACAATAAAATCTTCATAACTTAATTTAATTGTTTTTTCCTTAAGTTTTACAGGTTTTATTCTTATTGATTTACATAGTTCATCGTTTGTTAAAGGAAATTTTACGATATAAATAATTGTTGACAAATTCGATGCTATTTTGACATCGCTAAATTCAATAGCTTCTACTAAGTTTATATACAAGTATGGTATATTTTCTTTTTCAAATGTTTCTTTAATTACATTGATTTCTTCATTTGACAACATAAATGGCCTTGGCCCATTAGATAGAATAATCCAAATTAGTTAATTCGTTAAAAATTTTAATTTTCTTTCAATAGTTTTTTCTAATTCTAATTTGAGGCTATCGCTCGATTTCATTTCGCTTAATATTACATTTGAAATGTGTGTTAAATTATTTATTCTTTCTAACATAGATTTATTAATAATTACTTGTTGATTATTATTGATTAAAGTATTATTTATTATATCTCTTATTATTACAAAATCTTCATTATCTGGGGTTTCAGCCAACCATTTCCAGGCTGTCTCAATTGAATTTATAGCTATTTTTATCTTTCTTGGTTTGAGTCGGGATAGTAAGGATCGGATAGATTCTTCTTCTTGGGATAGGAAAGGATAATTACGGTTTTTCCGAGTTACATCATTTTCTATTATGGAATATATTTTGTTGATTGCAAATTCCTATTGTTCAATGTCGATAGTCTGTATTAGTCTAAATGTTCCGGTCTGAACCTTTGCGGTTCCCATATCTATGGTTATTATGTGGCTATTGGTATAATCCAAAATTTGAGTTTCTGCATTGCACAAGGCAAGGAAGATCCTGCAGAGGGAAAATGAAATTAATTTTTTAATGTGACTTTTGTGAACAGTACATCCTGATTGTGTTATGACTGTATTGCCTTTGTCTTCTACAACTATTTCTTTTTTATATCGGGGTGTTAATTTGTTTCCTAATCTTTTGTTTACTTTAATATATATAACCTCGTTACTATTGTATGATTTAAAATCAGTTCTACTTTTGTTGTGGAGTTCTAAATCTTTTTCTTGTTTATTCTTGAGGTTGCGAATATTCTCTTCTTTTTCTAGTTCGATTGGATTGGGTCCTATTGTTCTTCCAAAAAATACTTCTACTGGCTTTCGTTTAGTTGTAGAGTGAATGGAATAATTGTATTTAAATAAAGATCTGTTTAAAAGGTCATCAAAATCAGAATGGGTATTTTCTGCTTTTGTACATCGTAATATTTCATAGAATGTTGAGTGGAATCGTTCTATTTGACCATTTATTGAACTTTTGTATGGTGGGGTTTTAAATATTTTTTTTATTATAATAATTTTTGGAGCTGAGCTTAAGGATTTTTTATTATTTATTACAATTTTTTCTGGGATTCCAAATATTGCCAAGAGATCTCTTAAAGGGGTTTTTATATCTTCGGTAGCTCTGGAAGGTACAATTTTAGCTTGAGCGTATTTTGAAAATTTATCTATTGCGGTTAACACTATTTTATTACACGTAAAGTAAATATCTATGTGGACGATATGACCTGGATAACTGGGAATGGGCGTTGCTTTTAGAATTGGTTTTATCGGGTGTCTTTCATATTTATTTTCCAAGCAAATTTTAAATTGTTTAGCGATTCTTTTTATTTTGGCGTTCATTTGCGGGAAATAACATCTTTCCAAAAGTTGTGTTTTATTTTCTGTAGGATTACGATGAGCTCTATTAATAATTTCGATTTCTTGGTCCGACTTACTTAAAATGCCTTTTATGAATTTTTGGGTATAACGTACCTTGTAATTACTAAAATGAACTTGATAAATGGTTTGGATTTTTCCTAAAATGCTGTCTT